AAATATTTAACTACATATCATTTTGACTATAATTATAAATCAAATTACTGCAATTACAAATTAGTATTATATGAACTGTGAGAGCATCATATGTTAATTTTATTAGTAAAGACACAATTGCATTATTATCCACATATATATGAGCTGATTAAAAAGCAATGTACATTTATAAGCTTATATTAATTAGTATTTTGGCAAATGTTTCTAAATAACGCTAAGACTTAGCTCAGTTATTTTGCCAGCATAAACCTTTGAATTAACAGTTTTTTTTAAGTGTATGCACATATCATTAAACTTCATTTCCCATTTTTTGGGTAAAATTTGTTGTTGTTATTAAGTGCTGTGGAGTCGCTTCCGACTCATAGTGACCCTGCACAAGGTTTCTGAGGTTGTAAATCTTTACAGGAGCAGAAAGCCTCATCTTTCTCCTACGAACAGCTGGTAATTTCGAACTGCTGACCGTGAGATTAGCAGCCCGATTCGTAACCACTACGCTACCAGAGCTCCTTTTCTGGTAAAACAGCCTACCACAAATAAAATACTACAAAAGTAAGCCTTTCTTTTTTTAACATTAGTTACCTATCACCATTCTGGGAAAATGTACATTTTGTACAAAAGCTTAACATATGTGACCTTTAAAAAATATTGCCCTAACAAACCCCCTTCCAAGACCAAGACTCAATGGGAATACACTAGCAGACATGTGCTCTGACTGCTGACTATGCTGGTCACTGATAAGGGGAAGTGAGTGAAAAACAGCAATGAAACTGTGAGCTAAGCCCTACCACGTTCAATAGACTCCTGTGAACCTGGATGGAGACATGGTTAGCCTGTGGTATGCCGAGACCTGGGGACTCCTGCGCCCAGAGTCAGTGACACAGCCACAGAGGACTAAAGTGGAGAATGAAGCATCCAGCTGATCAGAAGAGAGGGCATATGCACAAGAACACCCACACTTGCAGATAATACCCACTTGACCTGGCTTCAATGCCTGGATGATCAGAACTCAACTAGAAGAAGAAAGAAGAGGGAAAAAAGAGTAATCTGATACAATTTGATGAACTTGATCTACACCTATGGATGCAGTAGCTCAAAAGAGGGAACAATTCTTATCAGCGAGGATCATTCCCACCCCCTCCACACACAGAGTAGACAGGGATGAGCAACTTGGACATTAGCTACCCAGAATGGGGGGAAAGAAGTGAATGGCTTACAAGCCTAGATCCAGAGGGCATGGAGGAAGGTAAAATCTCCACTAAGTAGTATCCAATCTGTCTGGGTGGGGCTGATGAAAGATGGGGAGAGCACTCATGTGATACAATAGTGAATAATTAATAACAGGACTGACTGTGAGGGTTGGAAATGTAAAGGTAGACATTTTGTAGCAAAAGGTGGGGAGTGGTTGACTTTGCAGTCCAAGAGCCAAGGGCCCTGGGACCATCAAGGGAGAAGAACAGAAAGTGAGACCCTACCCAGAGAAACAGTGATACCAGAGATGGAGGCAAAGACGATGTCGTGGAGAGATGGAGCAGCTGGGGACTCTAGACCCACTGAGGGAGAGGGGCTGTGTGCTGTTGACCAGGGAGCAGGCTTGCAGGGTATACCCTTTGGTTGATGATGCATGGAGGGGACTGTAACCATGGCAATGTAACGATATACAATAGGATAAATGTAAAGCTAATGTTCTCCCACACAAACTATCACACAATTCACAATAAAGCATTAATAAAAAAGAAAAAAATATTGCTCTAAACTAGATTCCTGGTGTGGCACTGTGGGTTAATAAGCCAGACTGCAAAGCCGTTTGAACTGCAAGGTCAGTAGTTCAAGCTTACCAGCTGCTCCTCAGAAACCCTATACAGGGTCGTTACGGGTCAGAACCGACTAGGTGGCACGTAACAACAACAATAAACTTGACTCAAAAGCTTCAGATTCATGGCTACTGTTGTTAAATGTGGTCAAGTTAGTCCCAACATTTATCAACCCTGTATATTGGGTTTCTGAGACTGTAAATCTTTACAGGAGCAGAAAGTCTCATCTTTCTCCTGTAAAGCAGTTTATGGTAATCCTACATGTCCACTGCACTCCTTCACATAACATTACTATGTGTGAATTTCATAAATTTAAGATGAGCTAAAAAAAATCTGTTTTAATAACATATGCAGACATTTGCTCAACTGTTACTTTCATTACGGTCTTTTAATTATTTTTATATTTTATACCATGGGAGAGTCATTTAACCTCTGTTCCTCAGTATGTCTCAGATACAGATAGTAAGCGCTCCGTGAATGTTAACTACACATTATCTGGAGTTCTGGTGTGGTGCTGTAGGATAAGCACTGGACTACTAGCTGAAAGGTCAGAGGTTCAAACACACCAGTTGCTCCTTGGAAACCCTATATAGGGTCGCTGTGAGTCAAAACCAACTAGATGGCACTTAACAACAACAACATGCATTAACTAGTTATAAAGGTGTATGTGTCACCAGCTACTTTTATTAGCTTCTTGCCATCAGGGCTGAAACCATTTTGATTCTTTTTAAAGAAAAAGTCTACATCATGACATTGTTAATGCTTTGCATTTCCCACCAAAGGTAGCACTGCTGGCAACAGTTACTAACTGGCAAAGTAGGAGCTCGGGTCTCACTGACTTAATACTTCCAGCCTGAGTTTTTTAAATCCACTCTGTCCTTATTACCACACAATTGGTACCATTCCTGCATTCAAAACATTAACATATACTATGTAGAAGGCACAGGATGCAGGCAGTCTCCTGTATCCCATAAAACTATGAGTAAGACAAACAACTCCCAAGTTTTTTGTCACAAAATAAGGGAAACAGACAGAAGCACAAGTGTGTAATGTTATTTAATTATAAGGTAATACACTGAATGCGCTATGAACATTTCCAAATGTCCCATGGGAGAAGTTCACAGGTGATGTCTCAGCAAACCTTAGAAAGAGGAGCAAAACCTCACCAGGTAGAGATGAGTTCTACGGTTATTTTGTTCACAAGGAGAAATGGAAATTCTTCACAGTGGTTAAGATCAAATAGACTATTTTAAGCAAACAGACTTCCATCATTAGGTGGTGAATCAATACTTCTGTTGGCTGTCTGCCCCGACCCACTGGTGTTGTGGTTAAGTGTCATCAAGTTGGTTCCCCCTCATAGTGACCTCTGTATAGGGTTTCCAAGGAGCAGCTCGTGAGTTTGAACTGCTGACCTTGTGGTTTAAAGTCCAGTGCTGATGGCTGAGACCGTCTTGCCGTCCAGTGCTTTACCCCACAGTGCCACACCAAGACTCCCAGGCCCTTATTGTTTTAAGTTGTTGTTGTTTAGTGCCATCAACTTGGTTCCGACTCAGAGTGACTCTGTTATAGGGTTTTAAAGGAGGAGCTGGTGAGTTAGACCCGCCAACCTCGTGGTTCCCATTCCAGTGCTGACCCTAGAGCACCACCACACAGGAGTCCACTGTTGTAAGTGTAGTTAGGTAATGCCCTGAGTTTCCTAACGAATCATCCTGCTCCCATTCTCCTTACCAGAGCTAGGAGAGAGCTGTTTGAAACTGCTTTTTATCACACCTTCCATGATCAAAAACCTGCAATGGGTTCCTCTAATCCCAATATTGGGATTCTGGTGTGGTTCCTCTAATCCCAATATTGGGGTCCTGGTGGGGTTCCTCTAATCCCAATACTGGGGTCCTGGTGTGGTTCCTCTAATCCCAATATTGGGGTCCTGGTGTGGCTCCTCTAATCCCAATGTTAGGGTCCTGGTGTGGCTCCTATAATCCCAATATTGGAGCCCTGGTGTGGTTCCTCTAATCCCAATACTGGGGTCCTGGTGTGGCTCCTCTAATCCCAATATTGGAATCCTGGTGTGGTTCCTCTAATCCCAATACAGGAGTCCTTGTGTGGTTCCTCTAATCCCAATATTGGGGTCCTGGTGTGGCTCCTCTAATCCCAATATTAGAGTCCTGGTGTGGTGCTGGAGGATAAGCACTAGACCATAAGGTTCATTTGAGATGCAAGGTGGTGGTTCAAACTCACCAGCTGCTCCTTGCAAACACTGTACAGGGTCACAAAAACAACAATCCCAGATATTAGCTCTGTTTGACTTTTTCTCTTCCAATATGCCCCAGGCATTTCTACCTCCTCCCTTTTGTTCATATTTTCCTTGACCCCCAATGCTTTTCTCCTATTTCTTCTCTTTGCCTCTCTAGACTCCTACCCACTCTTCCAAATCTTCAAATAGCCACCAGGTTCTCTCGGTTCCAATAACCCACTTGAGGAATGTTGCAGAAATGTGAGATACACAGTTGAGATGTGTTTCTTTGGAAATGAAAAGCATTTCCAAAACAATGGTAGAGAATGAAAAAACAAAAGGCAGAAGCTCCTTTGAAAGCTGCATTCAATAATGCCACCAGCATAGCATGCTCCTTAAATAATTTAGTATTCACAATTGATAGACTCTACTCAGCCCTTAATGAACTATTCTTTTTCCAACAGCATCACGCTCTTGTAAAAATCTCTGAACCTTTCTCCAAAATGGGCAATGAATTCTTCATTAAGTAACTCCATTCCTTAAGCTGGATTTTGTTTTTGTTTTGGTTTTTGGTTTTTAGATCCAGTTCCTGCTGGATCGAGCCTTTCAAATACTAGTGAGTAAACTGAAAGCGCTCTAGTAGCGTAGTGGTTATGAATCCGGCTGCTAATCTCAAGGTCAGCAGTTCGAAAGTACCAGCTGCTCTGTGGGAGAAAGATAAGGCTTTCTGCTCCGTAAAGATTTACAGCCTCGGAAACCCTACGCAGGGTCACTATGGGTCGGAACCGACGCGACGGCACGTAACAACAATAACGCTGAAAGACAACTAGTTAATGTTGTTGTTGTTGTTGTTATGTGCCGTGGAGTTAATAACAACTACTTAATAAGCGAACCACCACCACCACGCCACTGGCAGGCAGACTTTTGCGCATGCTCATTGGCAGGCTCTCCCAGCGTACCTTTGCATCTAGCTGGAGCTTCTCCTCCTTAAGCTGCTGGCTAGCTTTCTGGATTTGTCCACGACAGCTTACTGCTTCTGACCTGACTGGAGACACAAATGGCATCCTCAGACCCCTCCACCACCACCCGACTCCCTGGCCCCTGCTTCAGAGGCTTCTCTGTGAAGATGAGACCCCACTCCCCCCACGATGGCTCCCAGGCCGACCTTCGCGCATCAGGCGGCGGTTCTCCTCGGCCTGATGCTCCGTGAAGAGGATGTGCTGAAACAGGGACTCTAAACTCATGTCACAGCCAGGCTCCTCCGAGACTGAAGAGGCTGGAAAGCACAGTCAAGAAGGATTATTCTAGAAGGGTCCCCACACGGCCTCCAGTTCCCAGCCTTCTCCCCACCCATAGGTCGGGAGCGTCTTAGGGGTGCCGGCTGGACTCGGGGAGGTTCATTCTCGCTGCCTTTGTTTCCCTAGCATAGGCTACAAAGTGGTTTTGGTGGTGATTGGTGGTTCTGTGCCGTCGAGTCGGAACCGACCCATAGCGACCCTGCATAGGGTTTCCGAAGCTGTAAATCTTTATGGGAGCAGAAAGCCTCGTCTTTCTCCTGCAGAACAGCTGGTAGTTTCGAACTGCTGACCTTGTGGTTCGAAGCCCAATTTGTAACCGCTACATTGGACCTCCTTCAAATCCCCCGTCCAAGGGCGATCCATGCTCTCTACGCTGCCCTCTGCCCCACAGAGGGACCTCTGCTCCCTCCAGGATCGGCTTTTCCTCCCCGAGAGAAACCAAAATGGCGTGCCTGGGCTTGGCTTCCGGTTGGGCCTGCAGAAGCCGTAACATGGACAGCCTTTTCCTCTAAGGTGCCTCTCTTTTATGGGAATAAAGCCCTCAAAGAGCTGTCTGTGCCTCTCAGCAAAATATACACTTGCCAAAAACAGTCCTGGTGGAAACCTTCACCCAGGCCACAGGAAGCGCCTCAAACGGAGCTTTGCAGCAGAGAAGCTGCACTACGGTGTCCCGTTGGGCCCATCAGCCCCCAGGGGCGGTTTGCTGTGGGCCTTGTAACTACCTCCTCTAGGTCTTAGGTCTCATTTGGAGTTGAGGTGATCTGTCTCCATTGCATGGACACGCAGTATCAAAAAGTTCAAAGGACTTTTGAGTCTAAATATAAACTTCTTCTAAATCTTATCCTTTGAATATGGCAAAGACGTCTATAAATGTGCAATGTCTGACATTCCGCCTTAATCATTGCTTTGTAATCAGGGCCTATTTTTTTTGTCTGCTTTAAAATTAATCATTGCCTTTTGTAATCAAGCTACACAGTAATATTAACACTTCGATATCTGCGCAATATGTGTCAGAGACCAAAGTGGTTGCTAATTAAAGCTTAAACATGAAAGGCACCTTTGGGACTTTTGCATGAGATTTTTTAAATTAAAAAATAAAATATTTTTACTTTTAGTAGGTCAATATATTGAGATTAGAATAAACATTTCATTTCACTTCTGAATGTTAAATTGACATTGTTGAAACTTTTAAAAGTATTTTCTAGTTAGAATGTTCCTAGAATTAAATAAAGCAAGGTAATTGTAATTCTGTCACACGGTCTACATAGGCACTTAATTTAGACTTCTTTAATGCTGTAGTATCATATAATCACTTATGGCTTTTAACCTATTGCAAAATTTCACTTTAATTTCCATCAAGTCATGTATGCATAATTTGATTAAAACTTTTTTATTATAAGAGAGCGCATACTGATGACACAGAAAAGAACTATCATCAATTCCTAAGTCAGAAACAAGTATTAATGGCAATTTGACTATTTCCAGGTAACTCATCCTGAAGTTTGCCTTTGCAAACTTAAAATCACTATGCCCACATGATGATGTCAACAACAGAATTAATTTGTATTTTCAAGGTATTATTCAGAACACTTTAGATCCTTTTGAGAATGATTTTAGTAAGACTTTCAGAGCATGGTGGGAGGAAACTGTCATGCCAAGGTTCCATTCCTAGGATGAGTATATGGTAGAATGAGCTGTGGACACAAAAATTCTCAGATCAGAGACCAGGAATTTAATTTTGGATTCTGCTCTTTCACCATTTCATTGAAAACTCTTTATAAACACTTTTTTTTTTTTTTTTTACCAACTCATAATGCTGTATCACATGGATGCATGTGTAAAATTTAGATATGCAAGAATAAATTTGCCTCTTTTATCTGCTCAAGGATGAAAAACAAAGCTGAATTTGTGGTTTGAAACATTTTCTTTGAGCACTCGTCTGGAGGCTTATGAACTACCACGACTGCCATCAAAGGAAAGGGCTTGCCGAAGATAAATTATATTACTAATGAATATCACTCCCTTCAGAATTATTTCCCGTGGACTTGCACAGGGAAGAGTCTCACAGGGAGACTGGTTTTCAAAAGCATGCTGCTCTTTAACATTCCAACTTTATTAGTTACACTCAAACTCACATTTATTATTTAGCATGCTCTTTCTGTTCTGAAACTTGGCAGAGTGAAATCTGGGCAGCCGTCGGGGATTCCAGTTGCCTCACTCACACAGGGACACTCTGGGAGAGAGCTGCTGGAAATCAGGAAAAAGCCTATGAGGTGAGACAGTTTCTTTGTCTCTGCTGTCTTCTTCTTCACACCCCAGAATAGTCCGTGTTTTTAAACACCAGCCTAGAAGTACCACAACCATAGTTATCAGTGGGGTTGTTTGTTTTTATTTTGTTTTGTTGACATAAACATAATTCTGCAAACGCACAATGCAATTTAAATTTTCATAATAATGAGTGAAAACAACATAAGTAATATATTAAAATGATATGTATCTAAGAAACTCAAGTAGCATAGTGGATTACGAGCTGGGCTGGTAACTGCAAGGTCAGCAGTTCGAATCTACTAATTGCTCCTTGAGAGACAGATGAGGGTTTCTGCTCCCATGAATGCTACAACCTCGAAAACCCTGTATTGGGTCGCTAGAGTCAGAACTACCACCACCACTGTCACATGTCAAGTTTTATTCATACATTTCCTATTGTGTTAAGAGCTTTTTCTTATAAATCTACATGCTGATTACATTCTATAATATTCAGAGAAAGAGCTACATTACTGAAATTTATGCCAAATAAAAATGATATACAATGTGTTAAGACTTCAGCAGACTATTTCTGGATAGGTACCAATCTTACAAGTCTCAAAAAGAAAGGATGCATCACTCAACAACTGTCTAATGATTCTGTTCTTCATTCACCAAACATCACTGAGCCTTTCCTATGTGCCACAGTAGAGACACAATAACAAAATTTCTAATTCAAACAGAGCTACATATAAAAGTATTTTTCTTCCCCCGGATATTTTTAACCTCATTGGAGAATTATTATATTTTTCATCATTTTGGCAATAATATAAACAACTGCTTTCAGATGCTTCAACAGATGTTCTTCAGAAAGAAAGCCAATTATTTGCCTTATGATACCCACATATGATTCTCAGATCTAAACTTTCCATCTGTACATGTTTCGTTGAATTGCATACCTATGGAATATAAAAATTAAGATCACTCATTATCTCTCAAACTCAGATTTTCATTCACAACTCTTGCACCTGGGTTATTGAGCAGTTGATAATTGCTTTGCTAGAAGACCTTCTATAAGGGTGTATTGCTTCTGTAATTTAAAATGCATTTCCTCACTTTTCTGAGACTGATGACATCCCTCAGTTCTAAACCAGGCTTTCAAATGTCCACTAGCCCAGGGCATATATATTGCAATGGAAAGAAGAAAAGAAATTCATTTATTTTATGTGTTACTTAAGGCATCTGCCAAAAAGGAAAAGAAAAAAAAAAATGTGGGTTCAACCAAGTTTAACAACTATTTATTGAGTATCTACTAAGTGTAAAACTCTCTGCTAAGTACTATGGGAGAAACAAAGTAAAAAATGATGCAGGCCCTGCTCTCCTAGAGATCATAAGCTGACAAATGGGACGCAGTATGCACACACAATTTCCAGGCAGGCTGTCTATAACAGACCTTCACGCTTGTACTATGAGAATATGGTGGAGCAAGATAAGTCTGACAAGGGTGATCTGTGACAAGTTATCCTGAGGGGGAAACATACGAGAATGGTTTTTAAGAGGATGGGACTTCAAAAGATAAAGAGCAAGGGAGAAAATGGGGTAGACTGTTAGGTGAGGCCATTATTTGGAGGGTGTTGAACTTTTGTGTATATGACAGAAGATCACGTAATGTTTTCAAGCTGGTGGGTGGTATTTCAGAGTTCCTTTAGAAACTGTGGGTTAGAAACACTACAAAGGAAAAAACTATCGGCTAACATAATATGTTGCTTTCTTTGTGCCAATCACTGTCAGAGACCTTGGCATGCATTAATTCACTTAATCCACACAACAACCCAATGCGATTGATGCAGAAAGACGTCAGGTAACTTGTCTAAAGTCAATATAGTAGCCAGGTAGCAGCTGAATCATGATTTGGACCCTTATAATCTGGTTCTGGAGTGGGGCTGTAGGACCAGCATTAGACTGTGAACCACAAGGTCGACAGTTCAAACCCACCAGTTGCTCCTCGGAAATCCTATATGGCATCACTGTGAGTCAGAACAGACTCAATGACAGTTAATAACAACAGGACCAATCTGGTTCTGGAGTCCTGGTATAGTGCTATAGGGTACATGCTGGATGACTAACTAAATGGTCAGAAGTTCAAGCCCGCCAGTAGCTCATCAGAAACCCTATACATGGTCACTATGAGTAGGAACCAACCTGAAGGCACTTAACAACAACAGTATGGTTCTAGAAGGCACATCCTGAACTACTTCAGTTTGCTGCCTCCAACAACCTGAAGCTGGAGGAAATGAGACTATTTTGGCAGGTCAGTTTAATTTCAAGACAGAAGAATTACCTACACAAATATCTTTTCTGAAGACACTTTCAGATTCAGACTTCAAGAATTTGTGTTAGCAATGCAAAGCATGGAGTGCTGGTATGGCGTTATAGGCAAAGCACTTGACTGCTAGCTGAAAGGTCAGCGGTTCAAACTCATCAGCTGCTCCTTGGAAACCCTATACAGGGTTGCTGTGAGTCAGAACTGATTCAATGGCAGTTGATAATGACAACAATGCAACGTAACTATAACAAATTAGGATAAAATGTGATCTTTGTAACAAAAACAGGGGAGTAGTTAATCTTACAGTTCAGAAACAGAGGACCCTAGGACCATCAAGGGAGAAGAGCACAAGCAGAATGCAGGACCTTATCCAGAG